ATATATATATATATATATATATATATATATATATATATCTTTATATCTTTTATTAATTATCTGCGAGCGCTTTCGACAGCTGGTCGTACTGTCATCTTCTAGGCACTCCTCAAACTCTTGAGTTGGCTAATGAAAAAAAGTGATTTTCCTGTTTTCCTGGAAAATGTAATTTGGACAGATGAAAGCACTTTTATCAATTGTGGAAAATTCAACCGGAATAACGAACACATTTGGAGCATAAACAACTCCAGGCAGTTCCGAAAAATTCGATTCAGTATTAACGTGTGAGCAGGAAAAAAAAGAATTTTGAGTTCCCATTAACTTGACGGAATTCTGAATGGAGGAACCTATCACCAGTTTTTTATGTCGATTTCCGAAGACTACTTCGATGATCTACCTTTGGCTAACTATAAGAACATCTGGTTTCAACATGATGGTGCTTCACCGCACTACCAGACGAATATCTGATTACTAAGGTTTGGTGATAAATGGATAGAGAATAATGGGCCGGTGAGGTGGCCAGCAAGGTCTCCGGATTTGAGTGTTATGGATACATTCTCATGGGGTACACTGAAAAATAGAGTTTATGGTCAGAGGAAATATCAAAATATTGAGGACATTCAACACAGCATTGTTAGAGGATTCGGAAGATTGAGGAGGAGGGAAATTAATCGTGCAGTGAATAATATTCATAGAAGGGCACATTCATCTTATCATTAACACGACCAGAATTTCGAGTATTTGATGTGATTTTCTTTTGTCTTTACATTTCAGTTAATTATTGTTACGTGTTCAAAGTTCTATTTCCATTGAAAACGACACAATGTCTAATTTACCTCAAACAAACCGCATTTATCAAATTTTTATTATTGATTCTGTCTTCATATTTTTTCATTGGCTTTTCAAACGAACCAAACTTGGTGAGATTTTGATCCAATTACTTGAACATAGTTCGATGTGGTTGCCGTCTTTCGGGATACTAGTGAAATTACATTTCCAATGTCCTAACACTGTTTCTATCGTATTTGTAATAACTTGTAACATCCGTAGTCGTTGATTGAAACGGGTTACTTTGTTACTTAGGAGCTAAATTATGGGCTGCCGAAACTCAGCGGAGAGGGACGGCGGGTAAATATAAGTCCACTTGGAGGATAAGTGTATTGTTTATTCAAACACGCCAAGCTGATAATGATTACAGGCTTATGGCCCAGAAGTATACTTTTGGGTTGACAGATATAAACGTAAGCAACTGATGATTAAACTTGAGTTGTGGTGAATACTTCGATTATTCTAGAATTCGCAATTTGTGCCGCAATGTTGATTCGAGGTCGTGCGGGAGGGTGTAATACATAACAGAAAAGACCTTACATGCGTGGGATATGGGAAAGTAGTCTCCAGCAGCACGATCCAACCCCTGTAGGCAGTCCACTCAAGCAATGGTCTTTCCCATGCAGATAACTTGCTCCTCGGAAGACCGTAATCAGAGATATAAGGGGTGTAGTAGTCTAGCCTTGCGAGAGGTAAACCAGGATATAGTTCACAATATCGACTTGAGTTGGTAATAAGAAGGCCTAAAATAAGGTTGAGGTTCAGAAGGATATATACTTCAGGGTATTTTCGGGAAGTGGGTTCTTACCGTAGTTATTGTGTGGCCTGAAGATTGGAGTTTGACAAGAGAACGGGTAGTTAATTGAAATATAAAAATCCCCAATACTGTGGGCGAGTTATTCCTTTAGATAACTCAAATATAATTATTCCCGTATTGAATATTTTGGTTTCTTTCTCCCTATCAACGTTATTTCAAGCTTGAATTATTCTGATTATCTTCAGGCAATAAAAAACTGAAACTGAATTGTTTTGAATATTATACAGGGTGGATGCTGTGTATAAATATATGAATTTAAAACATTACTTTTCTTTTATCTTATAAATACACTCTTGCATTCTGAGAACCGTAACAAACTTTGTATCATATCTCTTTTTTCTTTATTCGTGAAAGCCAGTTTTCGTCAAAAATTGAATGACTTGTACAATAACAAAATGTCATTGAGTGTAACAAATTGAAAGTCAAATTTAGAAACATCTAAGTCGAAACCTATTATGATAAGAATTAATTTATTTCAATATCTCCAATTTTTCGAAAAAGAATGATAACTTGTGATACAGCATTGAGAAGGTAAAATTTCATTCTATTCAGGACAGAAATAATCCTATGTAGCGCCCATAAAAAAAAAGTTAATGGTGGTGGCCAGAAGACGAAACGTCAGATAGCAAATCTGAAAACACCACTATGTAGCAGAAAAAAAGTGGCAACGTGTAAGTACAAATTATTTTCGAATCCTTCGAAAAATAGAGCCAGAAAAAAATAAAAACTTCTATTTTTTTCGGATATCTCCGGATATACTCGAAATTTCAGAACTTTCTCAACGGCATAGTGTTAGTCATGTGAATGCGCAACTTTGATCTAGTTTAAACATCTTCCTATCTCTCATAGTTTCCGAGATCCCAATGGTGAGGATCGAACCCTGTGTAAAAAGATGCAAATCCAATATACAAAGAACTTTTGTCAACTCAGATTTGGGATAGAAACATAGATCTCTCACCCACGTCAAGATTTTATATCGTGTCGTGGACTGTGTGTTGTTAGGGTGGCCTAAAATGATACGTCGTTAACAATACACCACCCAAGTTGAGGTAAAAGGTTGAAACGTGTCGAGAACTGTGTAGCATTGGGATGGATAAAAATCAGAAACTAAAAACTAGAAAATAAAATGAGTTATTTTTTTAACGGTTTTATGGAAAAAAAAGTGGATAATGATATAGATAATTGAAAGGGTTATATTTTCACCAGTGAATAATATTTGGGGAAGAAAGTTTTCGGCTTTCTACTAGGTACTCCATCTTGATAAAAAAAATGTGGAAATCTCCCAAAGAAAGGAAGGAAGCAATCAATCTCAAAAGAAGTAATTAACTCTATACGTAGATGTGTAGATCATGCAACAAAGTAACTTCCACAAAAACTGGAAGAAAAAGTCCTACTGAAACAGCTTCTTTCATATAATTATTGAATTACTCAAAAATTCTTTTTTGTATCAAGATGAATAGTAGAAAGCCAAAAACTTTCTTTCCCAAATATGTAGATAATGTACTTTAAAATGAAAAATAATTCTGAAGGTCCTGGGTAGCAATCATCACAACACTCTCTCCAGCAATCTATGGTATTGATCAGATGAAAAAAAATCGTTGGGCGTAGTATTTACATCACTCAGGTTACGCTATGCTGATCAATACCGTAGATTGCTGATGAGAGTGGTATGATAACTGTCTCCTAGGACCTTTCGAATTATTTTTTGTATGTATTAGAAAGTACTATACAGAATATTTCATTCATGAATCCTACCGATCTTGATGTATTGTTTCTAGTTAACGTCCACATATTTATTTTTATTTGGAATTACAATAACTTTGAACTGAATGACTTTCTGTAATAGATATTTCAATAAATTTTGCTTTCGAAGGCATACAGTATTATGGATTCTCTATTAAAATTTCAAACAGAGCGATTTAAAATCCAGAAGAAATCCTGAACGATCACAATACAGTCACTTTAAATGAATTTCACCGCCTAAGCCACAGAATCCATCCATCCAAATATTGGATGGATGGATTCAAAAACAATCAAAACCTAATTCAATTTACAATGAACTGTGACTAGAAATAGTGTTCTTTTTTTCTCAATGTGGAAAACTGAAATATTCGAATTCATATGAAAGGAAAGTAGAGAAAGAACTGAAGAAATTGGAATGAATAAAAATGATTGAAAAACAAGAAAAGGAGGGAGATATTTATTATACTAGCAGCAAGAATAGCTGTATTGACAATGTGAATATCATAACAATGAAACTTTGTACATTCGTTGGGAAACTACCAATAGGTAAAGCAAAAAAACAGACGTTGGTAGTGATCAAAATACAAAGAACCAATAAGAATTTGATACTGTTCAAAAAAGCAAAACAAAAACTTAATTGGATTAATTACAAACAGAAAGTTGAACAGGATCATTCGTCATCAATAATGGCTGAACTTCATCGATCAAAATTCAGTAAATTGAGATAAAGTGAAACTAACGAAACAAAAAACCAAAAATTTCAGCGATATAAATTGGAGATAATACTTCACAAGAAATATATGTGATGGAGTTGGAATTGTTACATGAGAATTCGGTCCCAACTTTTCCGAAGAGAGAATATTCAGAATGATCCTGATCAATTTTGTCATCTCTTTTGAGTCATTATAAACGATGGAGCATACATTTCCTTATCAATGCTGACGTCTGATTACATACGGAAAAGGTTAAATATAACAAAGTGCCAAAGTGTTAATATTTTGTTGAACAAGACGGAGTCATGATGAGAAAGAACTAAATATCCACTTGAAGTTTCAATAGTGGATAACTATGACTATTTATAATGGCGAATCATAGCCTACTTTGAAAGAAGATGTAGAATCAGATTTTTCCCTAATCAAATCGTTCTTTGACAACAAGCTTCTAACTATCAACATAGATAAAAATCATTTCTTACCTTTTTCTAATTACAAAACAACAATGCCCAAATTTGATTCACTATCTCTAGAAAAAAATACACGAATAATGTCAGCAAATATAATGAAATATTTTGGAATAGTTATACATGTACATCTGAAATGGGAACATCATATCAACTTCCTCCTGAAAAAACTTCGATTTGTTCTTTATAAATTCCGACAGTTGAATGATATTCTTGACCTGAAACAAAAAAAGTTTATCACAGTCTTGTGGAAAGTCACATCATTTATGGACTACTCGGATGGGAAGGTACATCTAAAAGTCACATCCATTCTCTTGAAGTCATTCAGAAACGATTTCTAAAACTGATGCTATCTAAGAGCTTGAGATATCCAAGTGATACACTTTATAAAGAATCGGGATTACTAGATGTAAGACAATTGTATTACAAAAACTGTAACATAAGACAACATAAACACAAAAATCAGTTAGAGACGCTTACCCATGACTATAGTACTAGGCATCGTAAACAGTTCCAATGTCCTCATATTCGTAAATCGGTGGGCCAGAAATATCATCAATACTTGGGTCCAAAACTATACAACAGCTTACCTTCGAATATTCAATAGATACGTAATATAAACCAATTCAAAAGTAAACTAGTCAGATTTATAAAGAACTTACCTAGAGAGAGTGTTCATAATTTAATTTGATCCAATAACACAAGACAAAAGATAAACAGTTTTAAAACACGAAATTTGAACATCGCACTACCAATATATGAACTTGGCCCTTTCTGCATTCTACTCATTACATGTATATTATTGTATTTTATATATTTCATATTATTAATTCAGTCAATAATTGTATCTCCCTAGTTTATCAATACCTATATATAATGTGTAAAACTTTAATATTTCTCATCTTCACAAACAAGTATGAACTTCCGTGATCTGTCTTTATGTGGTTGTTTGTTTCTAAAATTTTTTTTTGTGTAACCTTTGATTTTGTCTATCGATGCGGGAATGTGTGACATTGATATTTCATTATTTTTTATTATTATTGGTGTGTTTTAGAATAACTGAAATCTCAGGGAACATAATATGAATGTTATGTTTACTGAGATTTCAAACCGATTGTGTTATTCAATTGACCTGGATTGTGAGAATTTAAATTTTGTGTTATGTGCTATATAAAATATTTTTTGTAAAATTATTTTTATCATTTCTAAAGGCTACGTCACGCACAAGGAGCAATCTTGCGATTGTCTCTTCAGTGATGCCATTGTTTATTGTTCATTTATTCAGCTCTCAAGGACTACTCATATAATTGTTCTGTTTTGTTATTGTTCTGTAATTTACCCACACACAGAGTTTTACCCTCAGTGGAAGTATCCGTTTATTCATCAAGGTATATTGTACTTCATATACTTCATTTTATATTTATGTATTATTAATTACTGATGAATAAATTATTATTATTACTATCATCATTACAATCCCGACAATCCTTTGAACAACACACATGTTTCAAATATATTGAAATATCCTACATGTGAAGTGCCATAATGAGTGATGTGCCTGATTGTAGCTTATAAATCATTTAATGATAATAATCACGAAAGTTCAATGATAATGTAATTTTCACTATGTTTGATTAGTCAATGATTTCAAGGAGTGTCGAAATGTCTCCATAAAATAAAGGAATATAGTCTTTGCATAGCATATTTTCCAAATACATTCAGATATATCCAATAGCATATCACTCTGCAACTTTTTTCAGCTCTTGAAAATATCAAATTATTCGAGATTGGCGAGAGTAATCCACTTACAGCTGCACAACTTATGTACACTATGGGCAACGAAGTAACAAATTCAACTCTGGAAAGTATCAACTCGGAAAATTCGAATATTTATGAAGAGAAATTTGATTTGGTGATCTTAGAGTATTTCAAAAATGATGCCTTACTGGCCTTAGCTTGCCACCTCAAAACACCATTGGTATTATTCAGTACGATGGGAGCTAACTTATGGGTGAATTCGTTGGTAGGAAACCCAACACCACCATCATATATCCCAGATTTACACCTGAGTTACACGGATAATATGGATTTCTGGCAACGCCTAATGAACGTATTCATGTATTCAGCCAAAAAACTCAACGACAAGTTCTTTTTTCTTCCTTTCCAATATGAACTTGCTAAGAAACATTTTCCCCATTGTGTCGGTGAGGAAGGTCCTCTTTCAAATGTGTCACTTTTGCTTTTGAACTCACACGAGAGTGTCAACAATCCAGTGCCATTAGTACCCAATATGATAAATATCGGTGGATTCCATATAAGTCCTCAGAAGGAGTTGCCAAGAGACCTGAAAGAGTACATTGACAACGCAGAAGAGGGAGTAGTTTACTTCAGTTTGGGTTCCAATGTCAAACCTTCTGAAATGAGAAATGAAACTAAAAAGGCGCTTCTGAACGCTTTGGGAAAAATCAAACAAAAAGTGCTGTGGAAATGGGATGAAGACTTTCTTCCAGGAAATCCAGAGAACATCAGAACAAATAAATGGTTTCCACAGCAAGAGATCTTAGGTGAGTTATCCGACAAATTTCTACCTGCTCATGAATTGAATTTACGCAATAATATGATTTCTATTCGAGTTACTTGAAAAATCAAACTCATTCAAGATTATATAGTTTTCAGTTCTCATTGAACTTGGTATTACTGTTTTGTCAATTTCTATCGACTATACAAATCGAAGGTTGACATGATACCGACTGGAAATACAATTGTATTGTTCTAACATATTGTTGGAAATTCAATTATCGTTTATTAGTCAGTCATTCGAGAGCTATATATTATTTTTTCATTATCATGTTACAATCACGTTGAAACATCAACATTCAAAGTAAAAACCCAATAAGATGACGATTAACGGGGTTCCATCGTGTGATTGCTATCATGAATTAGATGATACGGTGAACCTATGTCGTCTCGGAGTAAGAATCCATATTTTTTTTGAAAGTGGTTGACAATATTTCGTGGTGTACTTCATCAGTTCGGACTTCCATTGTCTAATATAATATGAATTGATTTGAAATCCCTGGAAAAAATTAAAGATTCACAGAAAATAACAATTTTATTAAAATAAAAAACTGAAATTACAAGGTGACAAGTCTTTTCGTTATTGAAAATGATGTTTAGTTATTGGACTACTACTGTTATTTACCACGTATTTGAATGTCTTCAGATACACGATTCCATTCAATTCAGCTTCGTCGAGTTCATCGGAAACCACAAATTGAAAGGAAAATAATGTTGATAGTTTCCAATTCCAGTTACTTCTGCCTTCTATTTTCCAAAATACTAGGTTAGTTTAGGTCCAAAGTGAGTGGGTCTATTCGACTATCGACCGCAACCCGTAGGGGTTTATTGTGGCTCACACCCATTCACACCCGACCAAATAAACCCACTCTTTTACGAAGCCGATTAGTTTGTATGGTGAGTGGTATTTCAGGTCAAATGGTAAGAGTACGGCTATGCCGGACTCTAAAAACCTGATTCGGTCCCAAAGGAGCAGGCAAAAAGTGTGCGGTCTGCTGTTCCATCATTTTCCAAACAGTGGCAGTACACACTGTCTTTCGACAGTCCGAGTCCCTGCATATAATGATTCAATTGACAGTGACCTGTAAGAAGGCTTGTTATACATCGTAGTTCATCCCTACTGTAGTCCAACAACTGTTTGGTATCAAACTTGGAAGGGTGAATGAACACTTTGGAGTGAGCCAATCCCTGAAGATTCTGTCAGAAGTCCATAAATCTTCTTATCATCCAGGTGTTCAATCTTTGTTTGGCAAAGCTCAAAGCGATGCCAATGATAGTTTCTGGTCCGATGAATCTCCTTGAAGCACCCTCCTTTGCAAGGGAGTCAGCGAACTCACTGCCGTCCAGGTCAGTATAGTCAGGAATCCAAATCAGAGACAATCTGTCAAGTCTTTTTATCGAGGAGAGTCGTTTTTGGCAATTTGCTACCAATTCAGACGTTGCTTGGTAGAAGCCAAGAGCTCCCATTGCCGCTTGACTGTAAGAAAATATTTTCATTGACCTTTGTATGAGGTTGGCTTCTCCCAATCTCTCCGCACACAATTCAACAGCGTGAGTTTCTGCTTGAAATACATTTGCATGGGTTCCTAGGCAGGTTGATAACTCTATCCTTGATGTGCGACTGAAAACACCTGCACCAGAACCGAGGGGTGTTTTTGATCCAACTGTGAACCAAGAACTATATGTTCTTAATATTTTCTTCTCCTTGAGGATTTTCAAACACGCGAGTAATATAATAACTGTTTAATAAACCATCCAAATGGTAGAAGCCTATGTTTCTGTACGTTGGAAGGTGATACCTCAGTAATTTTTAGCCCGCACAGTAGTATAGCTAACGTGGTTCTAGATACAATGGTAACCATGC